CTGGAAGTACTAGATTGCAGAAACTTTTCCAGCAGCCTACGTATGTGTATAACGACCTAGCTCACAACGTGCACTTGATATATGTGTACTAATTAGAAACTTTTTATTAAATTATTTTTATCCACTAGCTCGTTGGGATTGTAATCAATCGCATTTTCAATATTATTGCCTGAGCTAATCCCTTTCCAGATTTCTTTTTCTATTTCTTGAGTGTAATCGACATCAACGGTGCGATTACGTATTTGTACTTGTATCCTTTGTTGCTCAATAATCAATCCTGCAAATGATGCTTGTGTTTGTGCGCGGTTGTCGCCAATAGCATGCTCTTATATTTGTTTATATCGTCTTTCGTGGAAAGGAGATCGTCGGGAATTTTCTTGAAAATTAATTCGTAAAGACCGGGTGTACCGCCGTATCGTACGCCGTCGATAATTATATTGTCCGCATCATCCACGTCGAAACATTTTAACAATTATCCTTGTGTAAATAAACGCCGTACACAAATAATCTATACTGCTCTTCTGTTTATCTTGCGCTCCTCTCAGGACAGCCTCGACATACTTTTGACTCAGCGGACCCAGGCTTGCAATGCCTCTTGACCTTCCGACGTTTGCAATCAATTTTGAACTTTTGTTGCGAAGTCGTCCGTCGTTTTAAAAACGTTCTCCAACGATTCTATTGTCGGTACGATTGTCATACGCGGAATGGAGATTATCGGCTGTACACGATCGTGCGATCGATCATCGGATTCACGCGGGGTAGCGAAATGTCGTGCTTGCTTTCTCTTCCTCATCCTCCTTTTCCTCTTTCCTCACGTGCTTGGGGACAGACGCTGCGTCATCATCGCACAACTGTTTCTTTATCGCACATATCAGAGCTGTCTGCAACGATCTGCAGCGGTTTGATAATAGGCTTAAAATGTCTGTACAATGTCATGTTCTGCTCGATTCTACCGGTCTTCAGAGCGCAATGTTTCTTGCGGATTGATCCGCTCGTCTTTTCGATCTCCCTCGCGATTTTTTCACGTTTGCGTACATTAGCCATGTTCGTCTCTGGCGAAGTATCGACAACGATTAGGTACGTTACGGTATCACAAACTCGTTAAATCCCTTTCTGTATCTCCCGTCTTTAAGCGCACTATCTCGTCTATCACTACAAATTCATTTTTTTTTGCCAACAGTCACGACAATAAACAAAATTCGTCGTACGACATGTCGGTATTCACATGATTGTTATGAACATGTTTCAAGTTAGTACAATCCTGTTTGAACAGAAGCAGGTTCGCGTTGTCACATTCAGATGTTTAGGTGTTCTCGCGTACGTCTGACAGAGATAGAAGCAGTCAACGTTCGCGTGGCAGCCCATCGAGAAGTATTGTCTCACCGCATCCTGCTTATTGCATGTCACGTCATCAAAGATAAAAATAGAATTTGGGCGCGCCTCGCTCTGTGGTGCAACGTCACTGTTGGAGAACGGAAAGTAGCCGATTTCATCGATAGCAAATAAATTTTCAAGATATCGATACTTTGACTGTTGTAGCGATTTCGAGTAAACGTATACGTTCTCGAAACGTACGCACAGTTTGTGAAGCGTATCGTCAACGGTTGCCGCGACGAATTTTATGCTCGCACTAAAGACTACGCACTCTTGAACGATTATTTAAAAGCGCGCGAACCCGCGAATCGCGCAGTAGCAAAATGTATCTCACGCTGTGTCATCCTTCCGATATTCAAGACTTGAGCGCCGAGCAGTGATACCGAAGATCATACTCTTACGCGTGTACAGCGACTACATCGAACACGTCTGGGATAAGCTTCCAGAACACGTAAAAATAAATTCGGAGATCCGAACCTATCGTCGCTTCGACGAGCACTACAGTCGGCCGTGGCAGACACACATCAATGGTCCCGCACCGAAGATAAAGGACTGTAGCGAATGTCGGCGTCGCGCGGCAGTCTGCTGAATCGAGCAATAAACGCGCTTCGTTTCGAGTTACATATTCCGAGTTAACAGTTTTGCGGCTCGGGAACTCGGTTTACGAAGCGATTCACCAGAAGTGACGCAGGCATAAATCTGCTGAACGCGGCATGCCGAGAATACAACATTGCGTATTCTCAGAGCAACAATCTTATCGATAGACACGCAGTGTCAAGGTACTCGCCGATAAAGCACTAGAACGCGTCGTCGAGAGAGATTCGACTCTGAATGAAAGAGCCGCCGCTGGACAGCGATGAAAACCGAGACCAAGAAACGGCATAGGCATAAAACGAAGAAGAAGACGACAAGGAAAAAGGCGACGGAAAAACAGATATTTCCGACGGTGAAACGAGATGCGTTACCGTTTCTGTCAATGTTGGGTGCGCTCGGATCCATAATCGGAGAAGCGGGACGAAAGTGGTAAACGACAGCAAAGCCGTGCGATGTTTGAAGAGCTGCAACGTCACGATCGCGCGATGGGCCGCGGACTGTATCTCGCTCCGTACAAATACGGACACGGACTGTATCTCGGCCCGTACAAATGCGTGTAGGGCGTAGCTGCAAAGAAAAAAAAACCTTAAAGAGAAGATAAAAATGCCGTCTGGCGCAACTACCAATGTGCAATTGAACGAACTCGCGAGATGTATGCACGTACCACACTTTAAAGACGTTTTCATGCGTAACGCGTTACCGAGCGGCGCGCGCCGAAAGCGGTGTCGTGAATCTGGACGATGCGACGGGACTTGATACTCACTGGATAGCATACACGGAAAGAAACAACCGCGTCGTGTACAGTGTCTTTGACAGTTTCGGTAATCTTCGACCGCCCAAGAAACAGATGCGATATTTCGGAAACGATGCTACGACGATAGAGTATCGCACGTCCTATCAGACATACAATCAGAGATTCTGCGGACAGATGTGTCTGCGGTTTCTACAAACGGTAGACGCGCGTAAATTTAAACAGTTCGACGAGGTGTTGTGAAATCTTGAAGTATTAGTCGAACGCTTTTTCCGCCATATCGTTGACGCTTATGCTGAGCGGGAAAAGCACCATCCTCGCGGCGAACTAGTTTTCCGCCATAAATTTGAGTGACGGAGATTACAAGCTCGATCTGGCGATTTTTGAGACTTATCACACGATACCAAATGTAAATGAATTTGTTTTGTGATGTGTCGCTGGTGTCACCTTGTCTGGAAGTCGTTCGCCAAGGCGGTTGTAATGACGACTACTCTCTTTGTTGTAATAAGATTTATTCTAGATATGAATAACGATTTCTTCAAAGCGGGCAATAGGCGATGCTCATAATAATAATAGCGATGATTGATGCGTTCGGTAGACGTGTCAGATATTTCACACTTGGTACGGTTTGGAATGATTTCTCACAACTGTTCGACAAAATGCGAGCAATAACTAGACCAGCAAATCTTGTCAGAAACTCTGATTATTCTCACGCACTTAAGTTTCTCGTGGTACGCGTATACCGATCACGGTAAGTGACAGAAAACCGGCAATACGCGACGACAAATCGGTTCGTTCGCACTTAATTCGAGAAGATGTGTTGAGAATGAGTATCGATTATGTGATCTTTATCGATCGGAATCGGGCAGCGAACTGAATATTCGCACACGCAGCATGTGCGTGATAGTCAGCTTTTCGGGATTTGCGGACGTCGCGTGCCATTTGAGACAGACAGCGTGATTAGAACAGGAACGAGATATGTTCGTGTTTTGACGGCTCGGTGTCGATGAGCTATTTACTTGCCTCGAGAATACATGAAAATTAACGATAATTCCGGAACAGAATTGAACAACAAATTTTATTTCGCCAAAGACGCGGAAATTACAATTCCCGAGGATTCAAAGTGCGAGATATAAATGAATGTTTGAAACGCGCGATTTTACGAAAACACTGCGACGCGCTTGAAAACGTTGACGTAGTGCGTGGTAATAATAACAATAATGACCCTGATGATGATAATGATGAGGGTGGAGAATATCCGATTATGCTCCGCGCAAACTACAACACGATGAGATGCGAGATTAGATATGCATACAAAATAAACTTTGGCAAGCCCAACAGCATTGGATCGCAGCTAAAATTCTCGTCGAAGCATATATTGCGGCGACGAAGATGGCACGAATCGGACGTATCGATCAATATAATGAATGTAAACGTTATCCGCATAGGGTGTAACGTGACTGCGGGCAAAAGCGTGCACACAATACATAAATTTTTGCCGAGCGTGCCGCCAGGATGTAAGATATCGGAGAGGCCAGATCATTTACCTGATTTACTCGATCATCGCACGGAGCATTAGGGATCTAACGGACGATTGCTCGATTTTCAAAGAAGAGATCACCGTTAGATTGCACGTACGACGACGATAACGTGAGCGTGAGATGCTTGTGCTGAACGAACCGCACGCAGAAAGCTAACGCATTCTTTACAAAGCCAGTGACGTCACAGTTCGATAACACTTGCTCATCGAGAAGAAGAAGAAGCTCAGCGCAAATGTTACATTTTTAAAGTCTTTGGGATTCGTGGTGCGCAATATTTGAAATGACTGATGTCCTAAACATTAAAGACGATCTTCGACGATCGCATCATCAAGATTGGGACTCACTCACGTATAACCTGTTTGCCAACACAACGGTTGGGTATAGCAACGAGATAAGAATACCCATACAGCAACAGGATTTGTACACACTGCCGTACGAAAGCTTTCTATACGTCGAGAGAAAACTGACGAAGAACAAAGTGGTTTAGGGCTTACGTGTCATTGGGAAATAATTGTGTCGCGTTCATATTTGATGAGATTCGATATGAACTTAACGGTGTGGAGACCGTAATAGAAATGTGGGCATAAATAGCACGCTCAAAAACTAACAGTGTCATCCGACAGAAGCGTGATTCTGTGAAATGCCGGCTAGGATGCGCAGACTACTGCAACCGGATACTTTAATTTCTGTGTACCGCTCTACGTACTGCTGAGATTTTGCGAAGATTACAAACACGCGTGATGATCAACGCTTGTGACAAGTTGATTTTAATACGAGCGCGCAACGATAACAATTGTCTGATGGGAGATTCGGCGACAAAGCCAACGCTCGAATTATTCAAAGTACAGTGGCGAATACTGCACGTGTTATTGAGCAAGATAAATAAGCTGTCGATGCTGCGCGCTTTGGAGAGCGGACGATATCTGAGCATGGCTTTTCACTCGTGGGATCTGTACAAGTTTCCGCTCTTGCAGAGCACAACCAAGCATTCATGGGACACCAAGACGGCTACTCAGCTTGAGAAGCCGCTCATTTTCGCTATGCAAACAGGTCGAAAAAACGTCATGTCAAAAAACTACCTGAATTCGAAATGTTATCCGTACGATGACTTGAATCTGGATTTTGATAAAAACAGATGTGCGATTCTATACGACTTGTATGTGTATTTCTGCAAGGATTACTACGTATACGAGTATCTCGAGCCGAGTCTCATCTTTACAACTTTTTTACGTAATGGCCCGTTCGTTATCATCGATTGTTCTTGACAGAACAAATCGGTCAAGAGTGGCACCGTGGACATGTGATTAGATTTTGAATGTAAGGAGAACGTGCCTGCAAATACAACAGCCTATTGTCTCATCATGTACGATCGCGTGGTTCAGTATAATCCATTGACCAACGTTGTGCGCAAAATCATCTAAGTGCACCTCCGATATGGTATCTATCGGTAAATCTACGATACACCGCAATCGACCGCAGTCTTTTCGACAACATGCTCGTGTTAACGTTCATGGATCTGCAAGGATTCATTGTTAACAAAAAATTTATCATGAAGGAAGTGACGGTGCTGAAACAAGAGACCGTTCTCAAGCTTATATTTTTACGAGTTGAAATTTTTGACAAAATTTGACAGGTCTTGCACTTCCTGATTGAGTGCTTATCATCATGGATTGCGATGATAGGACGGGATGGTCCCGTACAACGAGGCGAAACGCCTGATCACGGCGTCTGTATTTGAAGATGATGCTATAGTGTACGTTAAGGGACGTGAGAAACAAACGTGGTTGTGGCACTTACTTCTGAGCGATGAGCGAGAACGCATGTACGATGGGGGACCCATAAGTTCCGGGAATTACGCTGTGGTGGGGAGGGAGAGTGGGGGAACCTATTGTTTGACCACATGTCCGTTAGTGTCACGCCACCTGCGTCAGTGTGCGAAGTTGTGTCGCTGTGAGTGCATCGGTTCGCCTGTGAGATTTTTTTTAGTAAAACAACTTTTTACATTTCGGCGAAAACGTAATGGCAGATTGTCGAGAACAACGCGCGGCTGTGAAATTTTGTTTCCTGTTGGGGAAATCGGCCGCGGAAACTATCGTAATGCTTAAGACTGCTTATGGGGATGCTGCCTTAAGTAAAACCAGAGTTTACGATTGGTTTTCACGTTTTAAAAATGGAGAAATGTCTATTGAAGACCAATTTCGTTCAGGACGCCCCTCAACGTCAAGAACTGATGAAAACCTCGACAAAATCAATGCCCTTGTTCGTGAAGACCGTCGCCGAACCATTGATCAACTCTGTGAGATGTCGGGAATTTCATGGAGTTCAATTCAGAGAATTTTATCCGAAGATTTGCACATGAGAAGGGTTGCAGCCAAATTCGTCCCGCGACTTCTCACAGACGAGCAAAGGGAGCGTCGACTTCAGGCATGTTTTGAGCTTCAAAATCAGCTCGAAGAGGACCCTGAATTTTTTTCCAAGGTGATTACTGGTGATGAATCGTGGTGCTATGGATACGATCCCGAAACAAAGCAGCAATCAAGCCAGTGGAAGACAGCTGGCTCTCCTCGTCCCAAAAAAGCTCGCCAAGTGAAGTCAAACATCAAGACAATGCTCATTTGTTTCTTCGATTGCAGAGGTGTTGTGCACGCGGAGTTCGTTCCCCCGGGTCAAACTGTCAACCAGAAGTTCTACTTGGAGGTTTTGAAAAGATTGAGGGAGAGTATCCGGAAGAAAAGGGCAGATCTTTGGCGCACAGGCGACTGGTTCTTCCATCATGACAACGCGCCGGCCCACACCGCCCTTTCCGTGAAGCAATTTTTGACCAAAAACGCCATGACACCAATTGTCCACCCCCCATACTCACCGGATCTAGCCCCCTGTGACTTCTTTTTGTTCCCCAAATTCAAAAGGAATATGAAAGGAAAGCGTTTTGCCACTGTGGAGGAGGTGAAACAAAAATCGCTGGAAGGCTTAAAGGACATCCCGATGAGTGAATTTAAAAACTGTTTTGAACAATGGAAGAATCGTTTGGAGAAGTGCGTTGTGGTCAATGGCGAATACTTTGAAGGTGATTAAAATTTGGTGTTAAAATATTGAGAAATAAAGAAGTTATGACGAAATTCCCGTTTTTTTTGGGTCCCCCCTCGTATATCGAGACCTTGGATGCAGTTTAGAAGAAGACGTGGAATCTTTAACTAATCTGGATGTTGCTAATATTAGGTTAAGTAAAAAGTCATCGCGTATTTTTTAGCTCAAAGTTGTATATACAATATCTTCGTCAATAATGAATGAAATTCAAATTTAAAAAAAGGGTTTTAAAGCTTGAAATCTCTACTTTTAAAAGCTTATCACATTTTTTAAGTTTATATGAGTTTGATAATTTTTACATACCAAAAACTACGAGCTGAAAAAGACGAAAAATTTTCTTCTCACTTTGTGGATTTGTAACGTGTCCAAAACGAATTTGAGAAAATTTTCGATTACCTATCGTGAAAGCTTGATACTTTCCTTACAAAATCGTTTTTTTTAAATATTCCTACGACTTTTGATTACTGAGTTATCGCGGATTAAATAAAAGAATTATTTTGACTTTAATTGCTCATAACTCCATTAAAAATTGTCGTATCGTATAATTTAAAAAAGAGATTTTTAAAGCTGAAACTTTACTCTATCAAGATATATTTATATTGTTGGTAAGAAAGTAATTGCGGTTTTTACTGATAAATGTCTTTAAAAAAAACGCGATGACTTTTTACTTAACCTAATACTATGCGATGTGGACAACATATTAAAAATTGCCCGTTACAAAATGTTTTGAAAATATATAACTGGTGGTTGCAAAAGAATTTTTTAAATAAAAATACGTTAACATGTTTATTATGTATTTCTTTTTCTCTTCCTTTGTAATACATGTACTCGTATGTATAAACGTATGAATGTGTATGTATGTACATAGGTATGTATGAACGTATATATATATATATATATATA